ATAAATTGATCAGCTGAATGATACCCTTTCAGAGACAGAGAAGCAGTGGGGAAAGAAAAGGCTCAAAAGAAAAGCCTGAAAGGGAGGTGAAAGAGGGTAGGAGAGAAATGATATTGACAGAGGGAAGGAGAAGGAAGGGATCAGTTGGAGATATGGCAGGAACTTGGGTTTAGAGGAGCACAATAGAAGATAACCCAAGAAGCAATTGATCAGCTGAATGATACCCTTTCAGAGACAGAGAAGCAGTGGGGAAAGAAAAGGCTCAAAAGAAAAGCCTGAAAGGGAGGTGAAAGAGGGTAGGAGAGAAATGATATTGACAGAGGGAAGGAGAAGGAAGGGATCAGTTGGAGATATGGCAGGAACTTGGGTTTAGAGGAGCACAATAGAAGATAACCCAAGAAGCAAGTTAATTAATTAATCTAATAATGGGGAGCACATAAATGGAGCTTGCTTGTTTCTATTTGTTCCATATCATCAGGATCTCCAAATGAGAGTACCAGTCTTCTACAGTTGCACACACTTGGACTTCCACGACTATTGATTTGTCTCCCCAACCCGTGTTTCTGTTTCCAGGATGGATTGGTTAAGCCTAGGGTGGAATGGCCATCTGCTGCTCAGCCTTAGGGTATGTCTAAACTACAGGCTTTTGTCGACAGAAGTTTTGTCGACAGATACTGTCGACAAAACTTCTGTCGACAAAGAGCATCTACACTACATTCAGTTCTGTCGACAAAGCAAGCTGCTTTGTCGACATGGTAGTGTAGACGCAAAGGACAGTTTACATGCAATAACACCTTCTGTCGACAGAAACTCTGTCGACAGAAGGCGTTATGCCTTGTAAAATGAGGTTTACCAGCGTCGACAAAACTGCTGAGTTCTGTCGACGTTATGTCGACAGAACTCAGCGGTAGTGTAGATGCAGGTATAGTTTTGTCGACAAAAGTCCCCTTTTTTCGACAAAACTCTGTAGTCTAGACACACCCTTAGTGGAGAGGAAGAAATTGGCCCAAATAGTTACTTCTGTCTAGAAAAGCCAGAGGACAGGGCAGTCCTATTCCGTGCGGTATACGTTAGCACTGCCCACATTGCAGCACCAGCATGTGTCAGATCTGGCCAGACCTGAAAAGTTGCTATGGAGTCCAGAGTGTTCTTCCACTGAAGACCAAATCGAGGGAGCAACGCTGCCTATTGGAACAAATCTTATTCCACTGAATGCTGGCAAGGGAGACTGAGAGCTTCTGTTCCCTTCTAACATTGTCGTTACTATTTGCCAGTTTGCCTAGTAGGAATTCCGGCTGGCCAACAGCTAAGTAGACAGTGTAACATTTTCAGAAGACCCCAAGGGTCTGTGGGGCTCAGGGAGACAAAGATATCCAGCCCAAACCGAGCAGGTCTAAGTGGAAGGTCTTGGCTGTCTTTCTTTGGGATTGGTTAGAATTTCTCCCGGAGGCAGATAGGAATAATTTTTGGTTATGTTCTCACAATCCCCTTATAATCCAGACAGAGCACAGAACAGGTCTATGAGCAATTACATGTTGAAGTTACCTGACAGTCAGTGTAACAAAGGATAACACTTCAACTCACAAGCAGCCAGCTACCCTGCTTTCCTGCCAGCCACTACTGTGACCGAATTCTCCTCCAGGAGAGAGTGGAGGACGGATGCTAGTGAGAGCAAGTCGACAATTTCTCCCCCATGCACCGCCAGGCTGGCGGGCCTGCATGTTTGAGCCAAGCAGCACTATGGCTGTCCCTCTAAGGCGAGGCTGTAGAGTAAAGGCCCAAACTGGGCAGCCCCCAGCCTCCTGATTTAAGAGGCAGCTTCGTTCGGTCAAAAGATAAAATGGGTTTGTTGCCCTCAAAGCCTTCAAAATGCCGTTAACGCTGAAAAGAAACACAGGGAGAACGTGAACTAGCAACGAGCTAAGACCATAAAGAAATCTCAAGATGACATTCATCTTTACTGTATTATTCGGCCCCAAGGCCAAGGGCATGGCCCATCGTCTATGCAGATCCCAAACTAGCTGTGTGATAAAAGGATCAAGATTAACTGTGACTAGTTCTTTTATGTTCCTAGGAAAGAGAACTGCCAAGTACCTGATTTGCAGCTGTTGCCAGCAAAAAAAGTGTTACCTAAGAAGGGGACATCAAGCCCCCGTCTAGAGGTGAGTGTCCCTGACTTGTGCCAAGCAATTTGGTACCCGGCAATTTTCCCAACCAATTCTATTGTATAATATGTAGGGGAAGGTCGGAAGGGGGCTGATGATGAATAAAGGCAAATCAGCATGTGTCTCTTGGGGCTCCATTTTATCCTCTGTAGCCCCTGAGGCTACATCTACACTACGAGTTTTCTCTGCAAAGAATATGCTAATGAGGGACTCATTTGCATGAGTTGTGATCTCATTTGCATATTTTCTGCCAATCCAAGCAGTGTGGACATTTTGTTTTTGCTCAAAAACCACTTTTCCCACTTGATCGGTAGACCTCCTTTTTGGGGGCATAAGGATCTTACGCAAAAAGGGGTTTTTTCGTAGAAAGGAAATGTAAACACTGCTTGTTTTTGCACAAAACTCCCTAGCACAAAAACGGATTAGAACAGAGTATGCAAATGAAGCACAAGAAAATGCTAATCCGCACTTCATTTGCATTGCCTCTTTTGGCAAAACTCATAGTGTAGACGTAGTCTTAATGTGCTCAAACTGGGGGGACCAGATAATTTCCATCCCAGAATACTGAAAAAACTGGGACATGAGATTACTAGTCCAGTAGCAAACATTTGTAAAGCAACAAGGGAAACGGAAGGCTAGTTCATGCGGATTAGAAGCTATTTGAGGCAGGATTCTCTGTTTGTGCAGCACCTCGCGCAACGAGTTTAAAATCAAAGTCCTCCAGGGCCTAGACAGAGCAGCTGTGAAACTCTCCCAAACCTCCCTGGGAGAGACAGCCCACTCCGACAGCTGTCCACGTCTCCGACTGCTCAGATCCAGCTCTTGCTGGACACACGTCGCTACCCACGAAAGGGTCGCACGGCTGTGACGTTCTGGCCTAACGCAGCCCCCAGAAGGACACCCTGGCGAGGGTCTAGGAGAGATCACAGCGAAGGCGAGTTCTGAAGAATCTAAAGGTCCTGGACTTGCCAGAGATCTGCACAGAATGAGGGTTAGCTCAGTCTGCATGGCCTGGGTCCCACATTACGCAGCGAGGCAGCTGGAAGACAAGCTCCGTGGGGCATTTTCAAGGAAGGTTTGCAGGGAGACGTGATCTTATGCATGGGGAAAGAGCTCAGGGGCCACAGTGTAAACAGGAGGGGTTGAGAGGAAATAGGGGAAGAAAAGCAGAAGAGCTGCACCCAAAAGGTAGCACCACCGGGGAAGTAGCTCAAGAGATGGCGGCATGTGTCGTGTGGGGAGAAGACCAAGGATCAAGTAAAAGCAAAGCCCCGGAGAGGAAGCTGGCCTTGTCATTGAGGCACTTGATGAGGCGGCAGAAGATCTGGGTACAAGTCCCAGCTTTGCTAGGAAAACTAACAGGCGAGTCGTTTAATCTCGCTCGGCTTCGGTTCTCCACCTATGAACCAGGGAGAGCCCAGTCCTGCAAGCCTCATGCAGGAAGAGCTTTTGCTGACTTCAAAGGGGGCAAGCCGTGGCTTTCCTGTAGCATTTGAGCTTTTTGGAACAGGTCCTGCCTCTGCGTGTTTGCACAAGGCCTTAGGGCAATGGAGAAGCTCCCGAAACACCAATCATGGGCACACACAAGGCTGGCATGGGGGTTCAAACGGCCTCTCTCTCTCCACTCCAACAAGCCCCCTGCCCCCTAGCTAATAAATGGGAGGGAGAGTAACCAGGTCCAGCATTCAGATCTGTAGATCACCTCTTCTCCAAAGCTCTCACAGCATTAACCCCTCCTCCCCGAGAGACGGGCAGTAATGATTGTTAACCCCAACGCATGGAAAGGGAGGCTGAGACACAAAGGAGGAGTGTAACTTGTCCAGGCGTGTGCGTGTGCAGGAGAGCGAGAGACTGTCACCCACACACACAGTGATAGAACTGGGAAGAGAACCCCAGAGTTCGCTCCCTCACATACGCTTGATCTACAGGTGCTCTGAGCTGGAGCCTCAGCTGGCTGAAATGCCTAGCCCCATTGACTTTGGTGGAATCCTGCCGGAGGCTTCATCCCACAGCCCAGGCCATTATGTGAACGCGAGATTACAAACGAGCCACACGCTTTTCTATGGGTTAGGAACCAGCCTGAGTTTTCTCTCTCCCCGTCATGCCAGCCCCTAGCCCAGGAGTCAGACCGGAGGAGTAGCT